CCCCCACCCCCACCTTCGCGCGCGCGCTTTTGGGTGTACACACGCGGTCAGCGCCCCCGCAACCAACGAGAACTAGCCCCCACCATGTCCCGCTCGTGCTTGTTCCACGCCGCAGGGCGAGGCGGTCACTGTCGAGCAAGAAGACCACCGCCGATACCAAGCAGAAGGATGCCGCCGCCGCCGCCGCCGCCGCTGCTGCTGGTGGAGGAGTAAACCCAGCTCAAGACCTCTCTCAAGAAGAAGACGCCGCCGCCGCCCCCTCGAAGCCACTGTCTCTCTCGTCAACGGCCACCCCCACGGCCGCTGGTCCTAGCGCCTTCACCCCGCGCACGACGAGCAGGCTGGCATCGTTGCGCAACAAGGCCCGCGGGTGGCGAAAGTCCCGGGGGAGCGGCGGCGGCGGCGGCGGCGGCGGCCGCGACTCCGAGGGAAGCGGGCCCTTGTCCGGTGGCCGCGCTGGTGGCAGCAGCGGCAGTGGCAGCGGACCGCTTTCGGGGCGCAGGAGCTTGGGAGCAGTGGCTCGCAGGAGGACCGTCAGCGGGCCGCTGTCCTTGTCCTCGGCGCGGAGCGGCAAGGGCGGCTCGAAGGGCTTCTTCTCCATGTCAAAGAGCCCGGAGGCCGCTGCGGGGGACTTCGACGGCCACAAGGGGGAAGAGGGTCTTCCTGCCCCTGGGGAGGGGGGGAGCGGCGGCGGCGGCGGCGGCGTCTCTCCGGGAGGTCTCGCGCCCGCGAGCGGGTCGGCGACGGAAAACCCCGCGCAGATCGACAGTGACGACGGCGCGCTCGCGCCCGTCGGCGCCGAAGATGTCCCGGCCGCCGCTGGTGGTGGCGGTGGCTTCGATGGCTTTGCTGTCCCGCCTAGCCCAAGCGAGGGGTAGAGAAAGACAAATCACGCGCGCACATCTATCTATCTTCTACCAACTGCAACAGCTTGCAGTTCGTTGTGCATGTACGTCGCCGTTCTCTCTTGCGCTTGTGCCCCCTTCATTGGTGTGTATTTACGCGGGTTCGCGCTTTTCTAATGTCGAAGGAGCCGATTTGTACGAGGATGCACGCACAAGTACTGGACTGTGGTGCAGTCTTTTTTTGTGTTAGATGGAATAACCATACCTTCTATCTCCAGTCCTTGGTTGTTGTTTGACGACGGTCAGACGCACGTGGTGCGCTCATCGTATGTATCTGGGTGTCGTATTTGCATCCGAGTCTAGTTTTTCTGTCTTCCGTGTCTGGCGCCCTCGTATCATTACAACATATTTGAAGCTACCACTCTGAAGGGCCGTGAAGAGTTGTGCTTTGTTTCTGTTATTTGTTTTCTGTGCCAATGTCGTCCTCTGTTTCTCCCCTCTCGTCATTTCACGGCGCGTGTCATGCCAACTACATCGTAGAGCCATGTCACCTCTGTTGTTAAGGTGTTGTATGTGTAGTTGCATGTCGTAGGTTGGAGCAGTCGTCGTCCGCTCAGGGGCCATTTCGCCCCTAAAAGAGGGAGGTCGGGCCCGTACGTGTTCGCGACGTGCGGTGAGCTCTTGTTAAATTCCACGTGTGCTTTGTTTGTCAGCATAACGCGCGCGTTCACCCTCCCGTGTGTATGGCCCTCGTCATCGCGGACGTGGCTCTTTTAGTATTGCACCGGTACGGAAATATACCGCATTTTCGGCCTGTGCACTGATACGATTTCTGCTCCTGATGAATGCTAACGGGCGGTTGTGTTCCTTTTTGCATTGGGGTGGGGCGGGGCTTATGAAGTCCTAGTCATACCTCCCCGCCTCCTCTTTTCTTTGTTTTGTGCGTGTGGAACACGTGGGAGTTAATGCGGCCGCCGTGGCAACGGATTAGGATGTGTTGTTCCTTTATTTAGATAGCGCGCGTGCAGTCGTGCATGACATTCTTTTTCCGTGTGCGTGTGTTTCTGTGTCTTGTGTTTTTTGCTGCTTCAGAAATCATCGTTAGCATCGATCGCCAGCCGGCTGACAATTATAAATACGCCAGGCTTCCTGCGGTTGAAGAAACGAAAAACCCCTCTACAGTCCATGAGTTGGGACCCCGTGAGCGCGGGGGGGGCTAGGCTTTTCTCCGGGTTTGAGATAGAAACGGTAGGAGCTGAACACAATTTCACTTGTTAACCTCACAGAGTTTTTTTTGGTGTAGAGTTTAATCTTTTGGGGCTCTCCTTGTGTGGTTGCCTGTTCCATCCTTCCCGTGTTCACTGCTCTCCGCATCTATCTGTTGGTACCCTTTCGGTTTACTCTCTGGAAGCAAGAGTCGGGGCTGCGCACGCCTTCTTTTGTTTCGTCCTGCGGCGACGGGCGGTGGGCGAGGTTCCTTCCCTGCCCTCTCTCATCGTCCGCTGTGCTAGATTTTTTGCGCTTTTGCGCCCACACGGGCGGCAGCCAGCCTCCCCTTCGTCCCAGCCTCCTCTCAACGGTCAAACGAAATATACCGTGCCAAGAGCTGGCGTGTAGATGCGACTCCGGCAGACAACCGGTCGGTGTGAATATGATTACGGGTTCATCGCCGGTGGAGCCCGCCTTGAGGTTGTTAGGTCGTAGGGTTGGGTGGAACTGGTCGAAGAAGGGTGGTACCGCGTAGGATATTCGCGCGCGAGGGTTGGGCAACCACAGGATAATTAGTCTGGGTTTATGGAGGGTTCTTGATCGGCTACAAGGAGTAATGAGGCGGGTTGTGGAGTGTTCTTGATCGGCCACGGAGCAACAAGACTGGTATGGGGGGTTCTTGATCGACTACGGGTATTCGACGGAAATATGGGTTGTCGACGGATATCAATCATGTACGGGGAGTATTAGCACTTCATGGTATCCCCTCTTTGGGTGGGCAATTTCGAATGATCGGGAACTGACAAGTTCTTCTCATCTTGCAAGTGAATAAATACCATCCTGACGATGTTTTCGCTGTTTCGCGGGGTTTCTTTTGCGTGGCTTTTGCTCGCACGCAAATTTAATGCGGTGTGCCATTTCGAATGAGCGACTGAATTCTCGAACATCCTTTTCCGTTGGTGACCAACATCTTTAAGGAGCGATTTTCAATCCCCCGGAGAATGTATTGCGCCGGGTTTCTTCAAGAGGAACGGTCAAGAGGGCGAAGGATCATGTTGCGTAGTGGATGCCTCATGTCACGATCACACACGGGTTTCTTGAGGGTGACCAAGGAACATAGCGATTGGTCATCCGAGGGCAAGGGGGGGAAGTGAACTTGAAGGCGGCTTGCGTTGCTTTTGCTTAGAAAATCGACCTAGAATCGGCCCAATTCCACTCATCCAAACACGCAGAAGGCAGCCCTGCTTCAGGGTTGAGGTTGAAGCTGACGCGGGGGCGCGAGGGTTGATTCCCCCGCCCCTCCAATGTACTACTGCCACAAGGAGCCGGTGCTGATTCTGCTCCAGTACCTTACTGCTGATTCTACTCTGCATGTTGTCCGTATGGTGCGGGAGCACGCGGCCCCGCTGCACGCATGACAGCGACGTGAGCTGACTTGCATCCTGACACGCCGGCCTCCCTCAAGTACAGGCCCAGCCGGAATCTCACGTCCTTGAACACCTCTCCCGTGTTGTAGCCCAGCATAGGGCAGTGCCCCCGCGAACGATCGTGGGGCAGGAACTGATCAAAATGTGCCGCTGCCGCCGCTGAGGACAAGGAAGGGAGTGGGCGGGGGGTGTTTTACGCTGGAATACACTTGATTGAGCCAATTTAGGACTGACAGAAATATTAGCGTCTGCGGTTGTTGTTGTTGTTGTTGTTGTTGTTGTTGTTGTTGTTGGTGTTGGTGTTGGTGTTGGTGTTGCTGCTGCTGCTGCTGCTGCTGCTGCTGCTCCTACTGCTGAAAGCGTCTGCTAGGGGACAGAGTTTGCGTGCCAAAGCACACCTTCCGCCAATCATGATTCGTCTGCGCTGTGCGGTCCAACCCACCACCCCCGTCGTCAACGTCACCAGTCCCCAGTCGTTGATCACCTGTGATATGGTCCAGCTTGGCCTCGGCGTTGGCGCAAGCCTCGGCGTATGGAACACTCGCGGCCAGCCTCTGTAGGACCTGCAACCGCTTCTCCTCCATCTCCTTCGCTTCCTGTTCCCGCCTCTCGCGTTCTTCCTGAAGACACACAAAGAAGCACCAGCCATCGCCGTCGCCACCGATACAGTAAGAAGAGGAGCGCAGTGAAGAGTCCGGGGGGGGCAAGAAAGCAAAACCTGATAATCTTGGGCAATTTCCATCCCCTCCACAGGGGCAAACGTGTTGACGGACGTGCTCCACGTTCTCATAACTATTGCTGAACCTGGGTAGACAGCCATCTATGACGGAAGGCGCTAGATGAACATGTCGGGTACAACCCTTCAGATGCGCATCCTTTGGCGGTGCGCATGCGTGGCCTCGCCTTGCAAAATAGTGTCGGTCGTCAAAGTGCATCCTAACTGCATGCCATAAGACAGTTCTACTTGTAAGCCGCCCACGGGGCGGCATCAATTGATGCGAAACGATTCAACAGACAACCCGCACGGTTCACACGAACGCTGATTACCTGTTTTTGACGTGCTTTTTCCTGTCGGAACCCAACCCTTTCCCGGTTTACTGGCACTCGCTGGGCCCGCTCGGCCTCCTCCACCCTGGCTGCCGCTTCGCGTGCATCCGTCTCTCGGGCTCTTAGCTCCTGTAAACTTGCACTACAGTTGGTAGTCACGGCCAGAACGTTGGTCGCCAGACGGGGGCAGCTAAAATCTCATGTGTTTAGCAACGTGAGGAAAGCTAGTAGGTGTGCAATGGTGGCCGCTGTCTTCGTGTTAGACATGACCAGTCCGAGCTGAAAGCATCCAGCCCACCTGCCTTACGGACAGTTGCTGATCTCACAACCATTGTCGTTAAGGTTTGCGGAGGAGAAACCCGTACCGATCTAAATAGCTAACCAAAAGTATTCAAAAGCGTACCCACGGGAGTCGCCACCCTTCAGTTTTCTTCACCTCGGTGGCTGCTGGTCAAAAAATGCTCCCCCGGTTCCCCCCCCGGTGTATACCATCGGGGTTGGGTTTTCGTCGCTTGGCAACGACGTTGTAAAACAAGCCGCCCCTCCCGGTGTTTGCCATCGGGATTGTGTTTCTTCGTCGCTTGGCAACGACGTTGTAAAACAAGCCGCCCCCCCCGGTGTTTGCCATCGGGATTGGGTTTTCGTCGCTTGGCAACGACGTTGTAAAACAAGCCAATTCACTTCGTGAACTCGGCAACCAGGTTACCGTTTTTTTTTTTTTCCTCCGTTTATTTTTTTTGGGCGGTAACCATAATGATGGTTGAGTAGATCATGTTGTGCGGGGTGAACCCTCACTCCGCGCAAGGGGGATGATCGCACCACGTTGTGTTAAAATGGTCAAGCACCCTCGAGGCATTTACACAAAGCTTACAACTGTCTCT